CAGTTCGTTCAAGCGGAGATACAGTCGCACAAACATCTCGGTTATCTGTCTCACCGCCGTGTACGCGCTCAGTTTTACGCCGACCCTTATCATTGGGATGTTCACGACGTTCTTCACGGTAGTCGACTACTCTCCGCCCGTTCGAGGAATACTGATACTTATGTACCGTTCTTGGGCGCTGAACTGTTCTATCAACCCGTTAGTGTATGGTTTCTTTAACAAGCCCTATCGAAAAACATTCACAAAAATGGCAAAGAAATTGTGCGGGAAAGATTCTAAAATTTCGTCAAACAAAGATTACGAATCCACATCTGCGATCGAATCAAGAATGTGATTTTCCTTAATCAATTCCTCGGTACAGAGAGAAAAAAAAAACAGAAACAGTTGAACGATTTTATAAAAATATGTGAATAGGTAAACCTATCTTCCTATACAGGCATACTTATTTTAATGAAAGATCTTTTGCTCCATACATTCACCCATTGCTATATATATATATATATATATATATATATATATATATATATATATATATATACTAGCAGTATAACCCGTCTTCGACCGGGTGTTTCATTACTGGGAATTTTTACCTTTCAATTGGAGCAGTTTAAAGTCAGCTCATCCCAAAATCATATTAGTAACAACAATTGCGTGTAGGCCCTGAAAAATCAGTTTTTGCATTCTCAGTCTTGAAAGGAAGGAACGTCTTCCATGGACCGTCATAATAAAAATATACGATAATTTTTATTTATAATATATATATATATATATATATATATATTTTTAAATAATAATAATGATCTTTTGCGTTAAATTTTAACTCTCTAAATTGAATGTACGCTGTTTTTTACAGACATTAAATTTTGCCTTTGATTTTTGTGCAAAGTGTAATAAATCAGTTTTTTTTCTATTTTTCACTTTCAACGTTGTAATCTTTTCCAGCCTATTTGGACTCAAAAGCGGCACCAAAGAATTATCTATCAAACAAACAAAAAAAAAAATATAACGAAATCGGATAAAAACTGTGGAAACGCATAAACAACATCTGATCACACACACACATACATACACATTTTGAGAATTATAGATATAGATATTCGCTACCTCATAATCTGGTATGTTAACAGTAGGACACCAATCAAGACTCTTAACAATGTTGCGATCATAATGCCTTTTTTCGCTGTCACAAATTCTACATTGATAAGTCGCCTTTTCACCTGCAACAACCACCAGTTGATCTGAAAGAGTTCCAGTGAATTATAATTTGTATCAATAACACTGTTAGTCCTCAATGAGTTTGTTGTTTTTTTATTTCACGGGCAGTCTACGCGTCACCAGGTAAGATCTTACAATGTAGAGGATGCAGGATAGAAATTACTTTGGTTACATTTCAGATACGAAACTGATCAGGTATGGGCGTTCGAGGAAAAATAATCTGAACGAGGCAGTGTGCTTTCCTTAAAAAGAGACACTGGAGCCTTGCTTTGCTTCGACGCTCTCCGTAGCTGAGCGGTAAAGAACACCGGATCAAATAGTGGCTCCTCCTACAGAGAAGGACGCTAGGTTGATCCCTGCCGGGAAGCATATTACTTTTATTAAGATTATTCGAATATCGTAGCCCGATAGACTGTTTAAAACAAAGAAATAAAAATGGGGCGTCTATTTCAACAACGAGAATCCATCATAATAACCGTTGAAATTATATAAAATGTTGGATTAAAAATAAAATGCATTAATATTTTAGAAATTGTTTATATATATATATATATATATATATATATATATATATATATATATATGAGAGATAGATAGATATATAGATGGGTTGGGTTGCGTTTTTTTGGTTTGAGTTTGTTTTACGGCATATCAACCTCAATGGATTATTTAATGCCGACAAGTTTTTTTTTTTGTGTTTTGTTATTACTGGTAATATTTTTTCCTCAAATATGTATTGCTGGTTACATTTTTTTCAATAATGTATTGCAGGTAATAATTTTTATCTTTCAAAAATTTATTGCTGGTAATAATTTAAAAAAATATTTTGATGCTATTAAAACCTATTTTTACACTTTCATAGATTTTTTTTACTCCAGTTGGGGGTTTACTATTTGCCCATAGATGGGACCCTAACATGTACTACCACCCTGGGCCAGCAATTAAGAGGTGGTTCCACGCACTTCAAAACCTTCTGATCAGAGGACTTGCTATTGAATGTAGTTTATCGTCTTACCCAGGACGGTTTTTTTTTCGTTTAAGTATTGTGTAAATACGGCTGTAATGTAGCTTCCCTGTGACTTTTCAATAAATTCTTTCATCGGAATTGTTCTGATGAAATTTTATTGATGGTACCTAGATTTTATGAATTAGACTATAGGCAAGGTCTTGTCAATTTACAGTTAAATTGGCTAGATCTAAGTGTAAATTCTATTTGGGCAGTTACTTTTCTCGCACTTCACGCTTGTGGAACTCACTTCCGGCTCCATGCTTTCCAGCCAATTTTGATTTTCACAAATCTAAATACAATATCTACTACCTTCTAACGTTCTCGCTACTTACTATTTCTTTTTTGTTTTATTCTTTAACAGTCAGTAACCACTTGTATCATAGTGACTTTACTGCCTTGCTTGGGGTGAAATGATAAATTAAAAAATCAATAACAAATTAAAATAATTCATTTTTTAAAAATCATAGATTATTAAACATAGTACTTTTAATAAATGTAATATGTTGTGCGTATAGGGTAAAATATAAGTCGATAATTTAACTCTTTTAACATTACTGAATGGCCTAGTATTAATCACATTTGTGTGCAGAGAACAAAATGAAGACAAGGTGCGCATTTAAAAAAGGGGAGGTTAAAGTTAATTTTGTGATGAATGCGGCAAGCTTGAGAAATTTTGTACGGGCCATCTATTAAAAACTGGAAAATATGTCGACCATTACAGTGATAGATCATTAAGTGTAAACTGTTTATCGTGCAATTATAACACCAAGATGACAACATGTGTGTCTTGATTTTAGTTTGATGGGGATTTATTTTTTATGAGTCAAACAAGTTGGGTCTATTAACAAGGTAACTGATGCACATTCTGTGTACATCAATTAAGATAAATGCAGTGTGGTGATGTCCTCGTTTAATTACGTAGGTAAATCAATGGGTTTGGTTTGTTGTGTTTTATGGCATATCAACCTCAATGGGTTATTTAATTCCGACAACTTATTTTCTTGGTAATATTTTTGTTTTGTCAAAAATCTATTTCTGGAAAACTTTTCTTCCTCAAAAATCTACTGCTGGTAATATTTTTTTTTCAAAAACCTATTGCTGGTAATAGTTTTATTGTCTTCTAAACTTTATTTCTGGTAACAATTTTTTACAAAGTATTTCCGGTATTAAATCCTATTTTTACACTTTCATAATACTTTTTACCTCAGTTTCAGGGTTAACTATTTGCTCTTAGCTGGGACCCTAACAGGTTCTACCACCCCAGGTCAGGGTGGACCTGGGAACACCAGCAATTCAGAGGTGGTTCCACGCTCCTCAAAGCCTCCTGATCAGAGGCCTTGCTGTTGGGCGTAGTTTATTGTCTTACCCTGGACGCGGATGGATTTTATCTTCATACCCAGGACGGCTACCCATTGGCTCATTTAATGCCGAAATTTAATGGTTTTAAAATAAAGTCTTGTAATGAAACATAAAAAGAAATTCACTTTAAATAGTAAGAATCCTATTTGCTATGGTTGTTATTTTTTCCTTTTAAATATATTTTTTAAATCAGTTTAATTTCACTTAGAAACTGGAATATAAAATGAATCAGTATTTTGAAAAAAGTCTTTTAAGTTTGGATTGGTTTGTTTTACTCAATGGGTTTATTAATGTCGACAAAATTTTTTATTGCTGGCAATATTTTTTTCCAGAAATATATTACTGGTAATAATGTATTACTGATAGTAATTTTTTACGAAGTATTTCTGGTATTAAAACCTATTTTTGCACTTTCATCGAGTTTTGATCCCAGTTTGAGGCTATTTTCCTATACCTGGGACCCTAACAGGTGCTGGATCATGGTGGGTCCGGAAACATTAGCAATTAAGGGGGTGGTTTCCACACTCTTTAAAACCTCCTGATAAGAAGCCTTGCTGTCGGACGTAATTTATTGTCTTACCCTAGACGCGGACGTAGTTTACCCAGGACGCTTTGGTTGGTTTGTTTTGTTTTACGGCATATCCACCTCAATGGGTTATTTAATGCTAACATTTTTATTGCTGGTAATATATATATTTTTTAATTCATTGTTGACAATAATTATTTACAAAAATGTATTGCTGGTAATAATTTTTCCTCAAAAAATTTATTGCTGGTATTAAGACCTATTTTTACACTTTCATAGTTTTTTGACGCCAGTTTTCCCATAGCTGGGACCCTAACAGGTACTACCACCCCGGGTCAGGGTGGACCTTGGAACACCAGCAATTAAGAGATGGTTTCACGCTCCTCAAAACACTCTGATCAAGGCCTTGCTATCGGGTGTGGTTTATCGTCTTACCCAGGACGCCCACTAGGGCAGGGTGGGGTCTTATATCTCTGCAGAGGTGCTGTCAACGTATTCTACAGCCCCAGCCAACAGGGAGTAGTAAAGTTTGGTCTTCAATAGATACCCTATAAATGTTTTAACAATACAATCATTCTCATAAAAGATAGAAATGCCATTTTATGACCCGAGAGATGATTGGTTTGTTGCTTTTGTTTAGCGGGATATCTACATCGCTATGGCTTATTTAATGCCGAAATCGAAATATTTGATTTTGATTTTGAGGATAATGATAAATTAGCAATGCAAGTTTTACTAATTAACTCATAGCTGGGGGAAGACAAGGTGGATTCATACCTTTCCCGACCATATTTGCGCGTCAGTGAATATAACGAACCAAATGGAATTGGAACTCATCTCTCCGATTAACAATTCAGAGCCATTACCCATTACACTATCCGCGCATCCAAGCTTACAGCACCTAGTATCCCCAACCGGTCACTCATCTAGGTATTGACGAAGCTAGACGTTGCTTAACTTTGGTGATCATAAGGGAACCGGTGTTTCAACCTGGTATAGTCGTAACTCCCGCGAGAGATTAATGGCCAGACTTAAAATTCTTCAGCGAAAACCAAACTTTATAGGAGACAAGAGGGGAAACATTGATTTAAAAAAAAAATAATTTCACCCCAAGCAAGGTGGAAATGCAACTAGTACGCAGAGGGTTACAGGGAGTGAAAGTGAAAAAGAAGACTGAGAATAGGGAGGGTTGAGGAAAGGACAAAAGCTGTACGTTATTCAAGAAGATAGAAGATGGCGATTTCAATTTTTGAAGATTGTAGTTGTCAGGGAAGCAAGAAAGCAGAAGGGAGTTCCATAGGTGGGATATGCGAGAAAAGACACTGTTGGAGTAGAAGTGGCGGTTGCATTTAGATTTTCAATAGTAAATCAGTGGGACCTAATTGCCAATCTAGTAGCACGCTTAAATTCATGTATTGGGGAAGCAAGAGAAAAAAAGCACGCCAGGGGAGTTGTCATTAAAAGATTTCTAGAAAAGACAGAAGGAGTATGCTGACCTAACATTTTTGCGTAAATGGATAACAGAACCGGACCTGGGAGGCATAGCAAATGAAAAAAATATTGTTCAAAGCTACAAAGAATAGGATGTTGTGAAGAGCCATGATCAGACACGTCTTAAAGGAAAACGGCAATTAAACGAAGAACGTTATATATACCTATTTAAGATAAATAGGTATTATTTTCCACTGTCACCTTCAAGCATAGCGATAACCTTTCTACTCAACCGCTGGAGGACATTTCCGATTGCCAATTGAAACAAGGCACATCAGCCCTGCCTCATATAGTTTAGCATTCCCTTCTGTCGTGACTCCTATTGTCTCTCTGTGCGAAACAAAGTCTAAAACATTCTTCACAGAAGTATCTATTAATGTTTTATATATTCATGAAGAAAACAGTAGCGAGAATCGTATCCATTAACTGCAGAGTTTTTTCCTTTCTATTTTTGGCATCTCTTTCTTTCTTTCGTTCCCTCTCTCTTTTATTCTTATATAACCCCCACCACCACCACCACCAAGCATGCTTATTTGCATGCAGTGATGGTATCTACCCTGAATCCATCACAAAAAAAAACAAAAAAAACAGGATGTGGAATTAGTAACTACTAAACACTCAAGTACTACAGTTTATGAATTAGTTATAACAGGAGATAAGGTTTGGTTTGGTTTACTTTGTTTTACGGCATAACATCAACCCAATGGGTTATTTAATGCTATTAGGTTGGTGCAAAAAGAATGACGTAATAATGTCGTTTTTGGACGTATTTTTTAACGTCAAAAAACGACATCATTACGTCATTATTTTTGCACCAACCTAATAACAAGATTTTTAGGATAGGTTCCTATAAGTAGAATAAGTATTAATATTTTTTTGTTTTTAAAAATGTATTGCCGGTAGTATTTTGTTTTTGCTTTTAAATTGCTGGTGATATTTTTTTTTTGTTTTAAAAAATGTATTGCTGGTAATATTTTTTAAAAAATATATTGTTGGTAATATTTTTCTCCCAAAAAGGTATTGCTGGTAATATTTTTTTGTTTTCAAAAATATATTACTGTTAATATTTTTTTTTTTTTTTGTTATCAAAATCGTATTGCTGGTAATATTTTTTCTCCAAAAATGTATTGCTGGTAATATATTAAAAATGTATTGTTGGTAATATTATTTTGGTTTCAAAAATGTATTACTGGTAATATTTTTTTGTTTTTTTATTTTAAATTTTTTTTTTGCTGGTAATATTTTTTTCTCCAAAAATGTATTGCTGGTATTTTAACTATAAAAAATTATTTTTATACTTTTATACTTTTAGTAATATTGTTCTGACCCCACTTTGGAGATTAACTATTTGTCCATACCCGGGGTGGTAGCATCTAATAGTATCCGAGCTGAGGAGAGAATGGGAGTCAAGTAAATTAAGCATAAAATAATTTGCACTATGGATTGTATCAAGCAATTCTGCAAATCGCTCTAAAATTAAAACAATAACCTAAATCTATATAAAAAAAGATCTTTTCAGATCGAAACTTTCATATCAGGTATGGCGTCCAAATCGTTTAGTTTTGTTTGCTTTATTTTATGGTTTATATAAATAAATCTAAATGCTAAATCGTTTGTAAATATCTAAAGTATCAGCTGCATTAAACGTTCTCAGCTTAAAGATTAAAAATGGCTCCGGGCGAATTAAACATCTTTCTTCGGAAAGAAATAGACAGGAAAGCTATAAAAAGAAGTAAATGGAAGTTTGTATATATTATTATTCGTAGGTATATTACATGTAAAGTCCTATTGAAAATATCGAGAGACTTACGTCGGTGAAGATTTGGTTTGGTTTATGGCATATCAACCTCAAAGGGTTATTTAAAGCCAACAATATATGAATAAGAAATGTATTCTTTGCAACACAATCACTTTGCAAATCTAATTTCATTAACCCTTTTGCAAAGAGGACTTCTGTCACAAGACAATTCCATTGGTGCTATTATTCTTTCTTTCAATAAAGAATTGCGAAAAACCTTTATTCTCTTCATATCCGGTTTCCTGCTTCTACAAAAAGTTTGGTTTGTTTTACGACTTATCAACCTCAATGTGATATTTAACAAGATTTTTATTGCTGGTAATATTTTTTTTTCAAAAATGTATTGCTGGTAATAATTTTTACAAAGAATTTCTGGTATTAAAACCTATTTTTTACACTTAACACAAGATTTTTATTGCTGTTAATATTTTTTCCAAAACTGTATTACTGGTAATAATTATTTACAAAAATGTATTGCTGGTAATATATTTTTCCTTCAAAAATGTATTTCTGGTAAGATTTATTTTCTTTAAAAATGTATTGATGGTAATAATGTATTGCTGGTAATAATCTTACCCCCCAAAATTTATTGCTGGTATTAAAACCTATTTTTATACTTTCATAGTGTTTTGACGCCAGTTTGGGGTTAACTATTTGCCCATAGTTGTGACCCTAACAGGTGCTACTACACCGGGTCAGGGTGCACCTGGGAACACCAGCAATTAAGAGGTGGTTTCACGCTCCTTAAAACCTTCTAATCAGAGGCCTTTTAATTTATTGCTGGTAATAATTTTTTACAAAAATGTATTGCTGGTATTAAAATCCATTTTTTTTTTACACGTTTTGACGCCGGTTTGAGGGTTAGCTATTTGCCCATAGCTGGGACCCTGACAGGGGATACCACCCTGGGTCAGGTGGGACCTGGGAACACCAGCAATTAAGGGATGATTACCTGCTCTTCAAAACCTCCTGATCAGAGGTTTTGCTTTCGGATGTAGTTTATCGTCATACCCTGTACACCGGAAGAGAGTTCCACAATCGAAAAGTACAAGAAAAGAAACTGTTAGCATAGAATTTACGTTACATCCAAACATTCTGATTGTAAAATGATGAGACCTTGCCGCCAATCTAGTACTGCACTTAAATTCATAAAGTCTACGGACCACAGAGGAAAGTTCATCAGAAAAATTACCCTGAAAATATTTATAGAAAAAGGCACAGAGAAGTTACATTGTAGTAAATGATAATTCTTTGGTACTTATTGCAAACATTAAGTGTTATGTACCGTGGAATCCTATTATTAATGCGTTTCGTCTTGTTTATATTCATGAAGGATTTGGATACAATAAATTTAGCTAATGATTGTAATAAATAATAGTATATGACGTCAGGCCATCACATAAATACTGGCCGAAATCTGATAGCGATAGATTTATTGGTATATTCATTATAACAGAATTTTGGCAATATCTGCTGGTACCTATTTGCTCATTTGTAAACAAGGAACACTTGCGTTGTCGCAATACGATTCAACTATCTCGGTTACTAACTTGATTCCCCTAAAGATGTATGTGCCAACGGAGCACATGACAAGATTGTTTGTTTGTTTTGGTTGCTTTCAATCGGTTATTTTAATGCAGACAAGATTTTTGCTGGTAATATTTTTTTGTCCAATCTTCAGAAAAGTATTGTTGGTATTAAAACCGATTTTTACACGTTAATAGTGTTTTGATCCTAGTTTGGGGTTAACTATTTGCCCACAGTTGGGATCCTAACAGGTGCTGCCACCGTGGTTCAGGGTGGACCTGGGAACAGCTGGCAGTTCGGCCTCAGTCACTGCCGTAAGGTTGCCTCTCTCTGTCATTTCTATAAATATTTTTATGGTAATTGTTCGGATGAGTTCTTCGCTATGGTAGCTAGAAATTTTGAATTTTAAGCGCATTACTAGAATGGCGTCGAGATCTCATCAATTTACAATTGAGCTGGCTAGATGTAACCGTAAGTTCTATGCTAACAGTTTCTTCTCTAGGACTTCTCGCTTGTGGAACTCTCTTCCGACTCCTTGGTTTCCAGCCAACTTTAATTTGCAAAACTTTTAATACAATGTCAATCGCTATGTACTGTCCACCTGTTTCTCTTTCTCCTCATCATTAATGTTTCTGTTTTGTTTTACGGTATATCAACCTCAATTGGTTATTCAATGCCATCAAGAAATTTTTTTTGCCAAAAATGTTTTGCTGGTATTAAAACGTATTTTTATACTTTCATAGTGTTTTGACCCCAGTTTGGAAGGTTAACTATTGGTTCATAGCTAGGACCCTGACAAGTGCTACCACCCAAGGTCAGGGGGGACCTGGGAACACCAGCAATTAAAAGGTTGTTCTACACTCCTCAAAACATCCTGATTAGAGGCCTTGCTGTTGGACGTAGTTTATCGTCTTACCCAGGACGGTAATGTTTCTCTTCCTAAATCTTCCATACCCTTTAAGCCTCACCCCCGTGATAGGTGACATTATTACCTTGCTTGGGGTGATTCCGATTATCCCGCTTCCCAAATATAACAGAAATACTAAATAAATCAGAAGAATCCTTTTGTAATCCAAATACTACAGCTCAAATACCATCTATACACAGCTCATGTCAGTCAGTTATGTGCCATGAGTGATACACGTTTAGGCGATCATGTGTTTTTCGATACATGACTGACGAGGCAGT